ACTAGCCACGGGTTATGCACTACCAGCACACAGTTCAAGCAGCAAACCTGTGAAGGCACAAGTGTGAAAAAGCAAACAATGCTAAAAAGAAAAGCTAAATTAACAGAAATCACGTTTCTTCAACAACCTAGCCGTCCCCGGCAACGGCGCCAAAAACTTGACTCACTCTTACAGTCACTCTAGAAAATGGCCAAGTGTAACCACCTCCTAAAGCATAGTATAAAGGGTTTGGGTTTAAATGTCAACTCGGGTCCTAGATGTGATGACTACTCCATGAGTTCTTATTATTTAGTAGTGAAAATTTAGTGAAGGTCCAAACAAACAAACACGCAAAGCAAGTAAAAAGTTGTTTTAAGTCGAGAGAGGTCATTTGGATATGGTTCCCCCTAGACTGCAGTTAAGCCGGATTTTAATTTACCAAGTTCAATTTCAATGATAGTTATACTGCGGGAGGTTCTTATGCAGTCTTCAGTCTCGACTAAAGGTCTCCAGACCCTCTCAATCTGAGTCTCCAACGGGCGACTAACCTCCACTGGAGTAAACAGATTCAGGCCCTAACGAACCAAACCTCCACTACCGAAGTAAATTCGGTACAGAATAGTGAATTGACTCCTCGACTAAAGTCGTCAATTCACTACCTTCAATCAAGGGTGCTCTATCAACCTAGGCAGATATTCTCTTTCTTAGGTTAAAGTAGAAACAACAGGAATTTGATCAGGATTCATGCCATTCAACAAATCAAACCTCAATTGAACATAATCATATCACTGAATTTGTACTTGGGTTCATACAATCAGACCGAATATACAAATCTAGGGTTCTTCATACCCAGGTGAATAAGAAAGTTACTCTATAGAGAGATATGGGAAATCTAGCTCAGATGCGGAAACCATACTATGAAGGATGAGAATCTGCTTCTGGCACTCAATCAGCTCTTTTCCAAGCTCAAGCCGCGCTCCAATGGTGATGGAGATCGATCAAGGACACTTGCAGAATCAGGTTCATCACTTTCTCTCTCTAGGTATCGCTTTTTCTCTCTAAAACTCGGAACCCTTCACTTTTGCCCTTCTTTTCCCTTAAGAAGTTGTCTGTCGCGGTCCCCGGCCTGAATACCCGGTCGCGTATTTTGGGTGGCGACCGGGTATTATCAAAACGCACTGTCGGGGAACAGGGGAAAATCCCCGGTCAAGGCCAAAAATACCCGACCGGTGATTTCTGCTTACTGCCCGGGCCCCCTTCTGCTTCTCAGAGACGCCCGAAACATAAATTCCCCGGTCTGCTCCAAATAATACCCGTTCGGGTATTTTTGCTCATGGCCGGGTATTTTGCTCCTCCAGCACACTTCACCCCAAACGTGCTCCTTTCGAGCCGAAACTCTTTTCTTCGCCTCGATGTCAACGCTAAGCCCTGAAATATGACGTAAACGCACAACCTAGCGTGAAATCGGCTTAAAACACGAGAATCAACATCTCAAACGGCTCAAGAATAGGGGTAAAAACATGTGCAAACAATGGTCTATTAGGTACAAGGTGAATTTTAGTGGTAAACAAATGCCTCCCCAACTATTTAGTGCATAAAAATTATGGACTAAGTAGTTAACCCCAATTATACCACTTAAAAGCCAATTATTAGCTTTTATCTCTACCACGTCAAACCACTTTCAAACTCGCCATACAAACTTGGCTTAGACAAACTCAAAAGCCACCTAACAGCAATCTTTGCCTCTCTTTTCTCATTGCCATGCTTGGCTAGGACTCGAAGTCTCCAATTTCTTTTGGGACTAGATTCCTCATATTATTTCCTTAATAGAAAAAAATTTCAATCTCTTACCATATCATCTTGCACCCCATAGTCTTTCTTCCATTTTGACACAATCGTGCCCCCATGCCACTGTGATCACCAACACTCATGGTCTTTCTTAAATCACATGGCATGGTATCTTTTGAAACTAGTGGGGCCAAAACATTATCATGTCACCAACTATCACACCCCCTCCCCCTGTCTTGTCATGAGGGGTGTGGTTCACACCTTAGCAAAGTTATAAGATTTGGCATGATTATGCCACCTTAATGGTCTAGTAGTAGGAGTAATGATTGAGGCTTACCAGTCGTGACAATATCCTCACATCGAAACCTACTAACTCCTACTCAAACTTGTCACTTCGACATTTTAAATATATATATAGCCATAATTGGCTTTTCTATATTAATTATTTTTTACTTTTTATTGCATATAATACGTAGTTACAATCATCATTGATCTCCATACCCTTTGGCAATAACCAACGTGCCAAAGGTATATATCCACTGCCAAGCCCATGGATTAACAATACAAAAAAGGCAGTCGTTAGCGACGACACGATTTTCGTCATAATTGATAAAATTTCGTCAGAAAATATCTTTTACAACAAAATTTCATCGTCAAACGTCGTCAGAAATTGTCCCGTCTCTAATAATAATATTATTGAAAAGTCTTCAAATTTACCATATTATTGACAACATGAATACGTTAGTAATAAAATAAATGACGTCACAAAAGAAATAACTCATGACGGATGAATTTGACGAAGTTTTTTTTTACGACAGCTTAATTTATTTTTGACGCATTATGTTTGTACGTAAACCATTTTTATGACGAGACGTCATAAATACTAATTATACTAACGTCCATAATTCATCGAAAATAACTATTTGTGACCAGAAATTGAAGCCGAATGTTTTTTTTATACGGTGTACATACATTACTAATGATGTGTATGCGTCACTAATATATTATTACCGACGTTTAGTCAAAAATATAAATTTTACTGATGCCGACAAATTGTCGTTAAAACTATGTTTTTTCTGACGTATCGTCGGAAGAATTATAATTTCCGAGGACAACTATTCATCGTAAATAAAATCTTTTCCAACGTGTCGTTGGATAAATTTTTATTTATGATGACAACTATTCATCATAAAATTAATCTTTTCCGACGTATCGTTGGATAAATTTTTATTTACGATGACACCTATTCATCATTAAATAAATCTTTTCCCACGTGTCGTTGGTTATATTTATATTATGGAGGACATATGTTTATCGTCGGAAAAATTCTTTTCCAACGTGTCATTGGAAAAAATATATTTACTAAGGACAGCTAATTATCACCAAAACTTATCTTTGCCAACACATCGTCAGAGAAACCACATTTACTAATGACGCTTAATTATTGCCAATTGTGCAATCACATCTATTAACGAAGGCGGCATTTGTTGCTAATTGCTTGATCAAATTTCATTTGTGACGCCATTATACTTCTAGTGATGACAACACAAACAAATCATCCAAACAAAGTTATGCATATTCCAAAATTAACTTTCAAACTGTCTAACAAGTGGCCAGCAGCTACGACCAAACATCCAAACTTCAAAAGACAAAATATCCTCCGAAAATGACACAAAATATCCCAAAGTCAAGCGATACATAGAATCCTATGATATCCTTAAAAAAAAATTCATGCATCATCAACAGTCTCCTCATCGGACTCGTCGTCGGCCACATCGTTACCCTGAGTTTCCCCAACTCGACCTTGTTCCCCATTTGCTTCACTGTTGAGATCTTACATTGAATATAACAAATAAATTAGCCATAGCTTCGAAAATTATGTAATGAGTAAAAAATAAAACATGGCAGCAAAATACATACCATATTGAATGACTCGGGCAGCAGCACTCCAAGTCTCTGCAAGACAGATTCAACAATGTGAGGAACTGCATTCCTCACATCTACGATCTCATCCTCCAACTTCTTCATTTTCTCATCATTTTTTTCCCTTTCTTTGGTTCGATTCTCCTGACAACGCTTGCTGCAACCCTGAATACCTTGACTCGATCTGGGACCGAAGACATCAACCGAGCTCACCCCATGGCCCATCCCTAGAACACGCTTTGGGCGTTGTGGTCCGATCACTTCTTGATAGATGACAAATTTGTTTGATTCTTCCCCTTGGGATACCTTTTCAGCCTCTGCTTGTATCATTCCATCCTAATCATGGAGTAAACAACATCAACATCAATATAAAAAACAACAAAAACGAGTACAGATTAAACATCAACCTAATTTTCTGTATACAACATCAATATCAATAAAAAAAAGACAACAGAACCGAGTACAAACAGCAGCCTAATACTCTGTAAACATTATTGAACTTACATGCAGGGCTTTTGCTTTTGACGAAACCAAGTTCTTGTCCTTCTTCACATGGAAACGTCTAAACATCTTGATCGGATCAGGTTCTTTTCCAGTTTGTTTTATCTACCAATCAATTAAAAAGAAAAATTGCATTCACATGTAAACTGAGTACACTTGCAGCCTAACATAAACATTAGCAATAGTGCAGCAACTTACCTCTTCATGTCTGTACTTGGCCAACGGTGCTGAACTGCCAGTGGCTGCAAGCTCACTCTTCTTCCGATTCCCTTTATTCTTATCACTAATTTCCTTGAATTCGAAACAACAAACAATCAGCTCACCATTGAAAACAGATTACGATGAAAGACAAACACCAAAGCATATACCCACTTAACTTACCACCCAATTCGGGTTAGTCAATTTCTGAACCATCTCCCTCCAAATTGATGGACTAATTTGCGGTGGTGAATGGTTCATTCTCTGATTCAGATCCTTATACTTCTTGAAAATCCGGTCTAGGAGACCATACATCCACTGGGGAAAGTTTCTCTTCATGTGGTCTCTGACCATATCGTTGAAAGTCTCTTCTGACCCAGTGTAAGCGAATCCTGAGTCCTTGAAATGAGCTATCACAGTCTGAGAAAGTAATCCAAGGCCCATTGATGCTCCTTTTGAAGATAGCTGAGATTTCACGGGTTGCTTGAGTGGTAATTATCCTGCACGGTTTATTTATAAGTATCAAACTAAGTAAACTGAGTACAGGGACGAGTTATCGTGAAATATGTGAGACACTGAGTGCAAAAAATTCCAGGGACAGGTTGTGCAAAAAATTCCAAGGAACATTATTACATACCTGTTATCGTGAAATTCCAGGGACAGGTTGTGTCCAGGCTTTACACCCTTTCCTGGTCCTCTTCCTTTTCTTTTTTTGGTCGTCCCTATCACAAGGTCAGAACTTATAGTCAGCTACAATGCAAAGACAGAAGTAAGCCATCCGAAATAAAAAAAAAAACACACAATGGAACTAACCATTCAAACTTCCACCCTCTGATGACAGGTCCGCAGCTGAATGTGGAGCAGTCGAATCAACATGCTCTGTTTTCCTTCGAATTCAGTAACAGGGGACCTTTGCTCCATTCTCGGAGTTTCAGTGATAGGAACAGGAGTATTGGTGTTCCTGTCCCCTTGTCCTTCTTCCTGATTCTCTGAAACAAGAGGCGGAGAGGGAGAGTTGCTCTGCACAGGTGAACGAGGTGCAGATTCTTCCCTCTGGCTTTGATAACGGAGGCGTTTCTTTTGCTTTGCCATCTAGTGAGAAGCAGAATTCGTTAGAGGGAGGAGAGTAATGGCAGAGAAGAGGAAATCGCAGATGACAAAGAAAAGGCTTTTGGGTTCCTTTATTTGGCTCTGCCTACTGAAGCGTGTTTATGTTATCTAGGGATTATTAATGAAGCGTGTTTTCTATAGTTATTGTGTTGTGGTGGGAAACAAGGAAAAAAATCCCGCCTTTTTTTTAGGCTAACGAAGAGGCAGAGCATGTTTATGGTTCTTTACCTTTTCTGAGGAAATCTCGTTCCATAGATCCCTCTCTGCCGTTGTACTCATTTAACGCATTAATTCGTTTATTGCAATTAAGGTTTAATTACATGAATGAACAATAATTGACAAATTAGGGGGGATTGAACAGAACTAATTACAGTCTGCGAACAATGAACCAAATTGCAAAGAAAACGAACCAAAAACAGACCCCATGGATGAACAAGAATTGCACCATGGATGAACAACCCACATGCATTGACCAAATCAAAGTGAAAGCCACTGAACTAACTCAGAACAGACCCCATTGTGCGAAGAACTAACTAATTACCTGGAATTCCGATTCAGTCCCATTCTCAGAGAGTTCTAAGATGCTTTCTTGGTTCATGCATGTTCGATTTACACCTGCAATTGAGGAAATCAAACCGCAGCATTCAAATCCACATATATGCATATAAATTTGGATGTCATGCATATAGAGAAAAATGTATGTGATAGTATTCTTGGTACTATTATGAATATTGAGGGCAAAACAAAGGATGGTCTAAGTGCACGTCGTGATTTGGAGGAGATGGGTATAATGAAAGATCTTCATCCTGTTGAGAGGAATGGGAAAAGAGAGTTACCTAGAGCTGCATATAGCTTGACGGCGGCAGAGAAGAAATCCTTATGTCAGTGGCTATCAAAAGTTAAGGTACCAGATGCTTACTCCGCAAGTTTGGCACGTTGTGTCAATGTTGATGATCGAAAGATACATGGGATGAAAACTCATGATTGTCATGTGTTCTTGGAGAGGTTATTACCGTTAGCCGCCCGTAACTTATTTTCGAAGTTCATATCGGGCACACTAATTGAGCTTAGCAAATTTTTCAAGGACATATGTTCCAAGGAGCTAAACGTGGAAGATTTGAATTACTTGGAGTCTCAAATTGCCATAATCCTATGTAAGTTGGAACTTATTTTTCCTCCTGCATTATTCGATATAATGATCCACCTGCCCATCCATCTACCTTGGGAGGCCAAAGTTGCTGGTCCAGTTCAGTATCGATGGATGTATCCTATTGAAAGGTATGCTACATATATAACTAGACTAAAATTATGTTATATACTGACATTTTGGTAACTTTGTGTAGTTAATTTGACAATTTTTAAACAATTTAGGTATTTGAAGAAGTTAAAAGGTTACGTTTGTAACAGGGCACGTCCAGAGGGATCAATCGCCGAAGCTTATATTGTTGATGAATGTGTCACATTTTGCTCGCAATATTTGACCAGAATGGATACTATATTTAATCGGCCAGAGAGAAATGTAGATAAATTTTCATCATCGTTGCAGCCATCTCATGACCTATCAGTTGTTCCAGGTGTCGGTCGTGTCATTGGTGTGTAGGACGACATGAGAGACTTCAATACTGATTTGTGGAAGGCGGCAGCTTCTTATGTCCTACAAAACTGTGATGAAGTGCAAGATTTTATAAGGTACATATACATATACACCAATACTTATTTATTTATTGTATGCTAGAATATAATTTATTTTAATTATATTAATTACAGAACTCACAAGGAACAACTAAGCAATCGAGGTTTTCGTATGGTTGAAGCAATGCACAAGCAAGAATTTGCTAAGTGGTTCTTATTAGAGGTACATGCATGTCATATATAATAAAGAATTTTCATATTTAAAAATTATCGCAATCTAATTTTAAGTTTATCCTTGCTATTATTTGCAGATTACACGAATGCACAATGATAAAGTGCCAAGTTTGAATCCTTCTTTGTTATCCTTAGCTCGAGAGCCAGACAAACGATTCCTGCACTACTCAGGATATTGTATCAATGGATTCAGATTTCACACTCGTTCTCGCGAGTTAACCAAAAGCAGTCAATACAGTGGTGTGATGGTGAGAGGGGAGAACGATGGTGGAATTCATTACTATGGCGTTCTCACCGATATCATCGAGCTTCGTTATACGGAAGGGATTCGTGTTGTATTATTTCAGTGTGAGTGGTATGACACCGCTCGCAAAGGCGTTGGTTACAGGAAAGATGGACATGGCACTATTACCATCAACACTACGCGAAGGCTTAGAACAGATGAGCCATTTGTTCTGGCTAGTCAAGCAATTCAAGTTTATTATGTGCAATCTTTAAGAGATCCAAATTGGAAAATTGTTGTTGAAACGCGACCAAGAAATTTGTTCGCGATGCCATTTAATACGGAAGGAGAAGGAGAAGGAGAAGGAGAAGGAGAAGGAGAAAAAGCATTAGACGAAGCCTATCAAGAAGACTATATTTTAATTGATGTACCTAGGGTACTCCAAACCGAGGGAGGTGATCTCTTAAATTGGACTAGAGCCGGGTTCGAAGATTAAGTATGACTAATTTGGTCTTTGTAGATCGAAATATAAATTATATAATTTCCATTATATTTTTCATAGAACAGTGCTTACTATGTGTTTTTTTATATATTGATTCAAAACATGTCATTCTTGTGTATGGCGTACAAAATGTATTTGTGCTTACCATTTACTACTGACGACATTTTATGGCGTAAAAAATGTTACTTTTTCCTGACCAAACTGTGGTCACGAAAATTTTCTTGACCAAATAGTACTGACGAAAGGCTTATTGCGTCAAAAAGTGTTTTACGATATCAAAAAAGTTGTTTTCCTGACCAAATAGTATTGACGAAAATATACTGTTGTCAAAAAAGAATTTTTTCCTGACCAATTAGTATTGACGAACTTTTCTGATATCAGAAAATGTTTTTTACTGACCAAAATTATTGACGTAATTTTTATATTATCAGAAAAGATGTTTTCCTGACCAAATATTATTGATAAAATTTTACTCTTGTCAAAAAAGAATTTTTAATGATCAAATAATACCGACGAAGTATTTATGGCGTAACAATTGGGGTTTTTCCGACAAATTAGTATTGATGAACTTTTGGTGTTGTCAATAAAAACATTTTCTGACCAATTACTTATGACGAAAAATTCATTCCGTCAAAATTAAAAATTTATTTTCGACGATCGGTATTTTGACGTCAATAATAATTATATTTTCTGACGAGATATTTTTTTGGTTAGTAATAATGATTATTTCTAACGCATAATATGAAGTCGTCAAAAATAAGCCCCGTGAAAAATGAAAAGTGGGGCAAAAAACATTTTACTGACAAAAAAATACTATTTTTGACAAAAAACCACATCTGTCAGTAATAATTTCATTATTACAGAAGAAAATTTTTTTCCCGTCGGAATTATGAATATTTTTATGCATTTTTTTAGTCGTCAGTAAGATTTTGTCACAAATGACTGCCTTTTTTGTAGTGTAAAGCAGGCATGCCATCCATAGACCACATGACTCTTTTTCTCTATGGGAGATGACTTTCCATACATTAATTTTGAATTTTCTAAGTTACCACCGGGTGGTATATGGTATGTATGTCTTGTCTTGGTGGCATTGCATGGGGTCCCATGCTCATATGCTTTAGCCGCATCACTTGGCTTGTCAATACGACCATGGGCTTTCCTCTCCCTTGGTTTCCTCATGGTTGAGACATGCTTACCGTCCTCATGTTGTTGTATATCATGCCTAGACTTGACAAGTCAGTGACCACCCATGTGGCCTACTTGACTATGTCTTTCAACATCTGAACCTTGTTGGCATCTACTCTTAGCACACAACCACCCTTGGTTCGTTGTGCAATCATGTAGGATTTGTTTGTATTGTGACTTCTTATACATGCCCCCTTCTCCACCCCTCGTGGTTGGTGACATGTACCTATTACTCATGGGCATCGACTTGCCCCCTGTCCGTACTTAGCCAAACTTGCGTACTTATCACAAGCATGTGTAGGTTGGGATTCTTTTAGCTTCTTGGACATGCCCCCACTCCATTATTCATGGTGGGTGACATACCTTCTTGCCCATACTTAGCTAAATTTTCAACACTACGAGAACTCTTTTTGGCTTTCCCACGTCTTTTCTTGTTGGACTTGACCTCATATTCACTGTTTGTGATTGGTTGCATATCCTCTTGTCCAGACTTAACCATAGTTTTACACTTACAAAAGCCATGAGTGTCTTCAACCTGTTGTGTATTCCAAGACATGCCCCCTACTTCATACTTCATGATGGGCGACACTGACATGCCCCCATGTCCAGACTTAGCCAAATTAGCATGCTTAGCAAAAGCATGTGTTGCTTGTGATTGATGTAGTCTCTTAGACACCACATGCCCCCTAGATGGACTTCTAGGCTTCACCTTGTGGGAAGTTAGACTTTCATACCCCCCTTGATGAGCTCTTGGTGTTTTGAGTCCATCAGAATCGCCTCTTTGTCTACTCAATAGGGGTGGCTTTGGGGTTGGGCAAGCATGTGGTGGTACTTGTTCCACATTGAATGGATCTTCACCATCTCGTCCATTGACAAGCGTCTCATCTGATCTTGTCTCGAGAACAAGCTGTTGAACATCACCTTGTACATGCAAGACCCCATGACTGGTGTTCAGAGTGGAGGTGGACCTCTCACCACAACTATCACATTGAGGGAGTGGTTTGCTTGCCACTGGCGGTGACAAGCTATTCTGCCATAGTTGGCCATTCTGGTCATTAGCAGAAGAGTTTGTACCATCTAGTGGCAAATCTCTTGATTGAACCACTTGCTTTATCAAAAGGTGTTTCAAATCATTGAAATCATCATTATTTTTGTTAACCAACTCTATAAGTTGACTTACACGATTATCTAGATGAGAAGTGAGAGATGTTAGGCTGAGGCTTACTTGTTGGGCACCACGATGAAGGCCGACTAGGCATCCCTCCAAGGAGTAACGATGTTCCTCCATGGCTCGGACGTTCTCCACCCTCAACATGCGGTTCCCTCCATGGCTT